GCTACCAAGGCCTCCACCAGACTGAGTCCAGTACAGCTAGAAGGTGCCTGGCTACCACCACTGACTGCTCTGAATGGGATCACAGCAGAGGGTTCTGGACAGAGCTGGAGAAGGATGTAGAACAAAATTCTAACACAAAAGACCAGATTTACTGGCCTGAAAGAGACTGGCGAAACCCCAAGAGTATGGCCCCCGGACACTCTTTCAGCTCAGTGGTGAAGTCGCTCCCGAGGCTCACCGTTCAGCCTGGGATTGGACAGCCCCATAAAACAAAATGGGACTAATGAGGCACAGCAGTCCAGGAACAAGGACTAGAAGGCAGAAGGGGACAGGAAATCTAGTGATAGGGAACCCCAGGTTGAGTAAGGACAGTGTTGACATGTAGTGGGGTTGTTAACCATTGTCATAGGGTAATATGTGTACTGTTTAATGAGAAACTATTTTGTTCTGTAAACCTTCATCTAAAGTGAGAATAGCAGCACAACTGGTAGAATGTAATCGATGTCACTGAATTGTACATGTAGAAATTTTTTGAAATGGTGTAACTTTGGCTATGAATATTTTCACCAAAAAAAAAAAAAGGTCCTCCAAGGTCGAGAAGGGAGAGCATCACATGTTGTGGGGTTGTTAACCAATGTCATAAAACGATATGTGCACTGACTGTTTAATGAGAAACTATTTGTTTCGTAAACCTTCACCTAAAGTACAATAAAAAAAAAATTAAAAAAAAAACTCTGCTGAGTGTGGTCACAAATTCAGCGTGCCTACATGCACGTTTGCGTTAACATCAATTGAAAGTTGCGTTGTTGTTTTATCATTTAGCCATTCAATTTCTCAGATATGCCAAGAGACTTCCTAATGACTAAAAGAAGTTTAATATTTCTCTCAAAGGGCCCATTTTGAACGTTGAGAATACTGGTTCTCCTCAAGATTCTGGTCAATGTTTTAGATTTGTGAGAGCTCCCCTAACTCTCTTCCACAAATATTAAACCAAATTGGTTGTCATCAAGTTGATTCCCACTCATAGTGACTCTGTAGGACAGAGCAGAACTGCCTCATAGGGCTTCCAAGGCTGTAATCTCTCTGGAAGCAGAGTGCTGCATCTTTCTCCCGCAGAGCTGCTGGTGCGTTCCAACCACCGACCTTTCAGTCAGCAGCCCAGGGCTTAACCACTGCACCACCAAGGCTCCTTCCATAAACACTAGTGCCTACAGAATGGTGCCTCAATTGGAAAAGCTCCTCCTACATGTTTCCCCTTACCTACCCACTCTAGAAAGGCAGTTTAAGATCAGAGCTGAAAAGAACCATCTCTGGCATCAAGTATCATTTGATACATATGCTGAGCATACACACTGCCCTGTTCTAGTTTCTGAGATAGTTTCCAACATCCCATCTCAATTCCATTTCTTGCCTGGTCCCTTATTCTGATTTGAACCATAAACCATGAATACGAAATTGAATTTTTTTATCTATCCATGTTCTCCTGCTCTGACTGGATACTGAAAAACACTCCAGGCTGTACAACCTGATCAATTTATCACTTCTACCTGACTTAGATATTTTACTTCCAACCTTGACCTGCCTGTTTAGATTCTAAACCCTTCTCTTACCTGCAATTTAGCTTGAGGTCTTAGATTTTTCTTGTCAGCTTCATGTCCAGAGCTCTATCCACCTATCCTAGAACCATCCATACTGGTGAATGTATTGCTCTGAGTAACTCAGAATAAAGAGATGACCTCACCACTAGCTGGCATTATCAAAACATGTTTCAGATGTATGCAGCTAAGTGTTATATATAATATTATTATAAAATAATTCACTTGTTAAATAATTTAGGAGCTTTGATTCAGACTTTTGATTTAAACTGCATTAGATATTGCTCATATCTGTCAAAACTGCATTTTGACCCATGAAAATAACCTGATCTCCACTCCTTTTAGATGGCCCAGTGTTCTATGCAGCATACTTAAAAATGGAGCACAGTGAAGAGAATATTAAATTCTGGATGGCATGTGAAACCTATAAGAAAATTGCCTCACGGAGGAGCAGAATTTCTATGGCAAAGAAGCTTTATAAGATTTACATCCAGCCGCAGTCCTCTAGAGAGGTAACTACACACCCTACAATGATGGCAAGTGGAAATCACTGCATCCCTGGGAGGGCACTAATATCTGTCAAGTACCCATTATATACCAGGCTCTTCACATCTATTATCTCCTATAATGCTATAAAGTCAGTATAGTTGAACTTATTTTACAGATCAGAAACCTGAGAAACTGAGAAATTAAATAACTTGTCCAGTATCTCACAGTGGTTAACTATGACACCTTATTAATACTAAGAGTTAGTATTAAAACATAGATTTATCTGGCTCCAAAGCCTCTCCCCATTAAATTATCTTAATTTCCAGAAAAGGTTTAAGAAAAGAAGTAGAAGTCTTTGGAAGAAGAATTGACCTTGCCAGAAGAAACTACAAATACCATAAATAAGCATGCTGACATCCTCAGTGGTGTTGGGTAAAGTCCATTCCACCATGTTGTTGTTAGGTGCTGTTGAGTTGGTTCCATCTCATAGCTACCCCATGTACAACAGAATGAAACACTGCCTAGTTCTGCGCCATCCTCATGATAGTTGTTCCACCATACCAACATTCACTGTTCACCTTAATTTAAAACTAGCCAAACCAACAGACACTCACATTGATGTTACTGCCAATCCTTTCCAACAGCCTAAAGAAAACAGTCATGAGTCAAACAGATGCACTGAGACTCTTCCTGGTGGAACGAGAATGAGAATAAAAATTATTTTTAAGGGGATAAGGATAGAGGATGGCACATGAGATTCCTATCACTCAAAACAGTCCTACATGATGGACTTGTTCCCCAAAACTCTTGCCTGGAAAATACTTGGTTTATTTGAATAGCCACTTCTCTTCTGTGTTTGTCTAGTGTTCCTCACTTTCTTCCCATTTCAGGGAATAGCCAATTAAATCAACATTCGTGACTATTAAGGAAGATAAATTTTCAAATAGCACCAACTTCCCTTTTCCATAAAAGAGACCTTCATCTCATAAACTTCCTTGTTTGTAGATGCTGCTAACAAACCATTTATATTCTCCTAAATAAGCAATGGTATCTGAGACTTCCCTGGTCCTGAGGCTAGTGTTACTCCCCCAACCCCTCCTCTGGGATGTGGAGGTGGATGTTTACTTTTAAGACAAGCAGAGAGTTTATCTCTTATAAATCTTTTTAGATACCTATGAAACTGCCAAGAAAATTACCCTGTTCCACTGAAAAGGAAAAACAAAACCAAACAAAAAAAACCTATTGCCATGGAGTCAATTCCAACTCAGTCATAGACAGCGTCACAGACAGAGTGGAACTGCTCCATAGGGTTTCCAAGGAGTGGCTGGTGTATTTGAACTGCCAACTTTCTGGTTAGCAGCCATAGCATGCCATAGCTTTTAACCACAGCACCACCAGGGCCCCACTGAAAAGGAAAGGGGGGATAAATGAGACCTTTCCATTATATATTTTTATCTTCAATTATGTACTTATGTTCTACATGTAATTTCACTTTTCAGATTAACATTGACAGCTCTACAAGAGAAACCATTGTCAAGAATATTCAAGAACCAACTCAAACGTGTTTTGAAGAGGCTCAAAAAACAGTCTATATGCATATGGAAAGGGATTCCTATCCCAGGTTTCTGAAGTCAGAAATGTACCAAAAATTTTTGAAGACTATTCAGTCTAACAACAATTCCTGATTACACTAAAAAGTTAAATTGAAAGCACTGGCTTTGGTCTTTTAATCTAGAAAAAATCAGAAATTGAGTAGGAATGAAATAGAAGAAATCAAACTGTAAATTGATTTTTATTCCCAAAGAGATACGGATTTCAAAAGGGATGGACTCTAGAACTCTTATACATGGATAACACAATTTAAGGCACACATGTACAGATTAGTTAATATGTAAGGAGAAGAAAGGTCTTTCTTCATGACAACATTATAAAGCTTTTACTATGCTGGTCAACTAATGGATGTTTTCTTATTAATGAAATTTTGCTCTCATAATGTACTGATGACTTCTTTTAAAATTCTAGTTATATGAATTGTGTCACTAGCATGAATGTATTCTATAGAGTATTGTTAATAACTTTAATTAATAGACAAACTTGGTCTCACAGTACAATCAACTTACATCATGAGCAATATTAAAAAATGTGTTCTTGAGAAATATTTTTTCTGTAAAATTTTCCCATTATTATGCTTATAACTGAACTTTTATATTACATATATATTCTACGTGAGAAAACTTCCCTATGATTCTAAGCTACTAAAAATGTATGAATTTTCTCATTTATTCTTACACTTATATTGCTTTAAGGGTAGAAAAAATTGGTTCCATATTTTGATCATTTTTTTCAGAATGTGAGTTCATTACGGTCCTGATGATCAATAAAGTCAAATATGAACTAAAAACTTATAAAAATACATGAGTTTTTCAAAGACACAATAAAAAAGAGTATTTTTCCAGTAGAAAATTCTAAGGGTGGAAAGGTGGCATCTTACAGCAGTGAGAATATATTTTTAATTTCCATAGTTTTTATGGACAGTGTAGGCAATTTAACACATTTATCCAATGCTAACTCACTGTCACTTTAAAATCAAATTAAAAGAATTCAAGTTTCAACACCTGTATTTGAAAGTTCAACATAATATTTACAAGTGTAAAAGTTGATCTGCTGTCTTCTATACTTAAAAGATTTTAGAAAGTACAAGGGACCTAGCATTGTATTCCTGAAGAAAGAAAAATTTCAAACACGGATTTTTTTCCTTCGAATCATTTTTAAATGTTCATATTTTTATTGGTTTTTTAAAGCATTTGTTTAAAATAGATTTCCTTCTTCTTTTGAAACAAAGCTTTCCCTCTTGTCCTGAGGATGAGTTAATTCTCAAACCACTGCATTCTTTATTCCATGAGCCTAGGTACTTTATTAGTACCTGGAAGAGTTAGATGCCTCTATGGTTCACATGATCTCATGCCTTTTGTCAGTAGTGCTTTCCCCTTTTTAAAGATGAGCAACATGAGTAAATGCATAGCCAATGAATACATTTAGGTACTAAGAAGGGCCTACATTGGTAAAGCACACTGCCTCCACCTCTGAAACTAAGGAAGTCCAACAGATGAAACATCAGTGGTTTAATAAAAACCACTGTGAATGAGTGAGGTGCATGATGGAAAGAATAATGAATTCATTGTCAAGATACTTGAGTTTTAATTCTGGATTTTCCTAATTAGCTATATAAATTTACATAGTTTTTGGATTAGCTATAGAAAATTACATACGTTGCTTATTGTCTCTGTTCCCCAGTTTCCTCATCTATAAAATGAAGTGATTAGAATGGGGAATACCTTAGTTCCTTTCCATCTCTAAACTTCTGAGTACCTTGAATACTTTTAAATTACTGAGTTCTTCAACATCTGGAGGTGTTTTTTGTTTTTTGTTTTTTTTTTTTGGCGTGGTATTCTATTGCCTGTCCTCTGATTTTGTACATTTAATCTCGTTGTTGTTGTTAGGTGCCTTCAAGTTGGTTCTGACTCATAGCGACCCCATGTACAACAGAATGAAACACTGCCCGCTCCTGTGCCATCCTCACAATGGTTGCTATGTTTGAGCCCATTGTTGCAGCCACTGTGTCAATCCATCTCCTTGAGGGTCTTCCTCTTTTTCAACGACTCTCTACCTTACCAAGAATAATGTCCTTCTCCAGGGACTGGTCCCTCCTAATAACATGTCCAAATTACATGAGACAAAGTCTCACCATCCTCACTACTAAGGAGCACTCTGGCTGTACTTCTTCCAAGACGTATTTATTCATTCTGCTGGCAGTCCATGGTATACTCAATATTCTTTGCCAACACCAAAATTCAAAGGCATCAGTTCTTCTTTGGTCTTCCTAATTCATTGTCCAGCTTTCACATGTATATGAGGTGACTGAAAGTATCATTTAATAGTATGATATATTTTCTAAAACAACTTTGCTCCATAGACACTCTTCTAAAAATTACACATACTCAGGTGTTTGTAAACCATCAACAATTCTCATCCTACTCCCACCCCCATGTCATTCACTGCTGAAATCTGTGTTCCAACTTCAAGGGAAGCCCTCATGGATTGCTCTTTTTACCAAGTTATCAGACACAGAAGTTTCAGAAGAATAAAACATCGATTTTCTTTACAGAATACATTGAATTTAAATTTGGGTGAAGACATGTATAAAGTGGTAAAAATTGCATGGTTCATCCTGGACAGAGGGGAGGTGGGGTATTATTAGGATTCTTGGAACAATGGGTATTACTGTTCATTGACCCAGAGGGCAGAAGTAACAGAAGAACATAAATTATTGAGGCAGGAGCCATATCACATTCTACATTATATACTAACTGCTAGGCAGAGTCTCCGAACATATTACACACTCAGAAATGTGGGTAAATTGAATGAGTGAATGAATAAGTAAATGAAAGGATCAGTCAGTTGTTCAGTCATGAGAAATTAATGAATCTAGCATCAGATCTCTTCTTTACACTCCAATTGAGCACTACCAACTTTTAAAAAGCAATACCTATTGCATAGAAACAATCAAGCTTTCAAAACTAACATATACATAACAATTAGAGCACTATGGCCTGACCTGAACCCTAGAACAAACTCTGTATCTGATACATAGAAAGGCTGGGGAAATAAAAGTACAGATCCACTAAATATTGATGATACAAGAGAGCGTGACAATGTGAACCAATCAGGGGTAGGAAAATTTATAAATGTATGAGTGTGATTGGCTGGGTGTTGGGAGAGTATGCATAAAGTAATGCTCTAGCATCCCATTAATCAAATAGCAATAATCTGCTCAATTGTTTTAACTATTAGCATGTAAATCAAATTTTCTCTAGAATTATTTTTTAATGACTTGTAATTCTTCCTTCAACCAAGAAAGTCCTTTGTTCTCTTTTTCAATGTCAGGAAAGTGAATTGAATTGAGTGCATGACTGAATGTGTAGATGAAATTTTCTTTCAAAATAATCTCCAAAAACAGAACTTCTAAATGTTTAACTGACTTCCATTTAATATTTCTATCAGATACAGAAAGACTATTTTTAGCTTTCTTGTCATAGCATTTGTCAGAAGATTCCAGAAAAAAAGAATAAAATACCGAAAAAATATTTAATTCCAAAAAATTAAATATAGAAAAATTTTATTCAAGATTTTTAGTTTTACTATGAAAAATGATTCTCAGGTCTCAAATTGGACTGATAAGGCATTATTAATTTAAAATTCCTATAAACCTATGTTATATGACATGAAAATGAATTTTAACTTGGATTCTTCTCATTGAGAAGCAAAACAATTATCATAACACAGAATAAATATTTGAGGAATTCATTTCTGAAGAAGAGAATTAGCTGTACAAAGAAATATTTTCCTAAAAAAGTACATGTTTAACTAAAGCTGACTATAGGGTCACTAAGAGTTGGAATCAACTCGATGGCAATGGGTTTGGTTTTGGCTTTAGTTAGTTGAGGACGCCATGAGTTGGGGGTGGCTCTATGGCAGCTAACAACAACATCAAAGTTGGGGAAATTGTTTACACGGTAGTCCAATTTTATCTAAACTTCTGAATGTTTTTTTCTTCTTAAAAATACTAGTATAAGAATAAAGGTTGAAGCCTTAGGTTCTTGAACTTGAGGATGATCCCTAACCACTCTAAGCCAGAAAAAAATGTTTCCACGTTTCAGATAGTCTCCTCGTCTGACACCATCAGCAAATAAGTATATTTATGGGCAAGGAGCCCTGACGGTGCAGTGGTTAAGTGTTATGCTGCTAACTGAAAGGTTAGTGGTTCGAACCCACCAGCCACTCCATGGGGAAAGATGCGGTAGTCTGCTTCCGTAAAGATTACAGCCTAGGAAACTCCATGGGGCAGTTCTACTCTGTCCTATAGGATCGCTATGAGTTGGAATCGACTCGACAGCAAAAGGTTTTTAGGCAAAGTTATACTTGCTTGACCATAACACACATGCTTTGAGCAGTTTCAGAACATTTTAGGCCATTCTCATCTAAATCGTACTAAATCAGTTGAACACTGACATACTAATAAATGGAATCAGAATAATGAGCATTCTTCATTATTTCTCCCTTGCATGGGTGGATATTTGTACTCCAAACAGGATTAGTCTAGTTTTCAGCTTTACTTGTTGTTGTTGTTGTGTGCTGTCGAGTCGATTCTGACTCACAGTGACCCCATGTGACGGAGTAGAACTGCCCCAGAGGGTTTCCTAGGCTGTAATCTTTATGGGAGCAGATTTCCAGGTCTTTTCTCCTGCAGAACAGCTGGTGGGTTCCAATCACCAACCTTTCAGTTAGCAGCCAAGTGCTTATAACCATTGCACCACCAGGGCTTCTTTCAGTTTTGCTTAGCCATTGATTTCACCTCCTAAATACAATCCCTGTGCTCAGCAATCTTAGCACCTTCACACCACATTGGGTGTCACGAAACAAAAAGCTTTGGACTGAGAGACAAAGCAATTAGATTAGAACTGGTTCACTTACCTAATGCCCTTGTCCTTTAGTGACCACTAGGCTTCAGTTTCCTCCTCTATAAAATAAAGAGGTAGGATTAGATGATGAAGGGAGTCCCATGCTGTGAGTGTTTTGTTACATCCCATACTAATGTATTCATTCTCCGTCATTAGCTTGGACTCATTTTGAAGAGTAAGCCCTCCAAAAACTGAACTTTTCATGAGGAGATGGATAACCAATTATTCATTTTTCATGTAGCACTATCTAAGGGAGTTCTTTTGAAAGTTTGGATTTAGGAACAGATAATTTAAATTAAAGCACTGTCTGTCAAAGAATTTTACATGTAAGTATGTATTTCATTTTACTAATAATTAAAACAGTTTGAGATTATTTGAACTGAATAATATTCTAACAATATTTTAATATCTTGT